GTGGACCAAAAAGTAGGTCATGGTGACCTACTTTTGACATTTTATGGCTATATTTATGTATCTCAGGCACTTATTGGCTAAGAATCGTCAAACTTTGTCAGTTGAGGCATCTTGGGTTTTTGGAGAATGTCGACCAAAAAGTAGGTCACAGTGTCCTAATTTTGACATTTGATGGCTGTATTTAATTATCTCTGGTACTTATTGCCTTAGAAATGTCAAACTTTGTCAGATGAAGCATCTTGAGTTTCCGAGATTGTGGACCAAAAAGTAGGTCATGGTGACCTACTTTTGACATTTTGTGGCTATAATTAAGTATCTCTGGTACTTATTGACCTAAAATCATCAAACTTTGTCAGATGATGCATCTTGGGTTTTTGGAGATTGTCGACCAAAAAAGTAGGTCACAATGACCTACTTTTGACATTTTATGGCTATATTTAGGTATCTCAGGCACTTATTGGCTAAGAATCATCAAACATTGTCAATTGAGGCATCTTGGGTTTTTGGAGATTGTGGACCAAAAAGTAGGTCACAGTGACATTTGATGGCTATATTTAATTATCTCTGGTACTTATTGCCTTAAAATCGACAAACTTTGTCAGATGATGCATCTTGGGTTTTCGGAGAATGTCGACCAAAAAGTAGGTCATGGTGACCTACTTTTTATATCTCAGGTGCTTATTTACTTAGAATCATCATTCTTTGTCAATTAATTTTGAGTCCTCAGAAAATTTCAATCAAAAAGTAGGTCACTGTGACCTACTTATGGTATTTTATAATTATATTATATCTTCAGTCTTAACTGGCTATATATTATTAAACTTTGTCAGTTGATGCATTCTGGGTCTTATGATACTAATAGAGTTGGAGGCTTCTAATAGAAGTGATAGATTGTACAATTTTTCAGAAGAGCGATTCAAGGCCCTTGGGCCTCTTGTCAGTACTAGTTTTACATTTTATTCTATGTAATGTACATTTAATTTATTTCACCTCATCCTCATCACATATCAATACTACAATGTTACTTTTACACAAAATGTTTTTTTAGGGGGGGGGGGGTAAATATCCAACAATTAAATATCTATATGATATCAGAACCATTTATTTTAGAATAAAGACAATACACTTCTTCACAATCAATCCATTTAATCTCTATTTTTAGTTTTACTTTTGTATTTTATGTAATGTACATTTAATTTATTTCACCTCATCCACATCACATATCAATACTACAATGTTACTTTTACACAAATTGTTTTTTATTTGGGATGGGGGTGTTGGTGTTGTGGTAAATATCCAACAATTCAATATCTATATGATTTCAGAACCATTTATTTTGGAATAAAGACAATTATCTTGAGAGGAACCTTAGGGTTCCCAGAAACTTCAATGAATTACATGTGACATATCCCGAAAATCTTGTAAATTGCTATAATGATTCTGACTATTGTAGCAGTTTGTATATGATGTGATTGTAGCTGTTGCAATGATCGTTGATACGAATAAAGAGCGTCCACAGGGTACCCCAACATCTGTTGACAATTGCCAAGAATATCCCAAGATATGTCTCTCAATGGTTCAGTCACATGATCTGGGCTAAAGTTTATTCGGAGTTGTAGTTGAAATAAAGCAGCTCTTGCTTCCACCAAGTGTGTTTGTTTGTAACACAGAAACTGCATCAGGTCTAACATTACAAAGGGAGGAATGAAGAGGAGAGATTGTAGAAAAGTGTGTTCAACAACCTGTTCCAATCTCAGTTCATTTAAATAACAAATATTTCTCAAAAGTTTAATAACCTGTGTCACAACTGGTCTCATTTGTCTAGGAAGATTCTTAGGGTGTATGCGTACATTTCCATTATAGATAAAGTATACATGTTTAAACCTTCTCCTTGTCAACTTTAGAACAGATAAAGCCTTCTCATGCCTATATGTTTTGTAATAATACATTGCAATGTATAATAAATCGGAATCAAAACCAAACTTGACTGCCAACTTCAGCAACTGAAGGGAAATTTTGTCAGCAATATACTTAATTCTGTTCACTTTGTTGGTATAGTAATTGTTTAGCACAAAAGCAATATTTTTAAGTATGAATGCAGTCCGTTTCTGTAACATAGCTATATGTGTTTGGGTTAAAGGTAAACTGATGATTTGTTCAACAATTTTTAAGAGATGCATAGAGGAGTTGAAGCGTTCAGCTAGATATACATCATTTTGATAAATCTCCAACAACAGTTCTAGAAAAACGTCGAACTCGGTCACCAATGACCGTTCATCTGTAGAAACTCTGAGTGTTGGGTTCTCTAGTACAGCTGTGAGATGTGGAGCAATGGACGAACTGTGTAGGAGAGATTTCAAACCACTATCATACAACGCATACAGCTTTTGGAATAAGGTTCTTTGTGAATTACCATAAATTTTTGACAGAAACATGTTGTTTTCTGGGATGAAAAAGTTTGGACATATTCCCTCATACACCCATTTAAGAATATATTTAAAGCAGACCCAGAAACACTGCAGGAGATTTTGAGGGCGCCAATAAGGTAATATATTTTGTTGAAGCACCCAGAAAACGGCTGTCTTCATATGATAGGAACATAATAATTTTCCCTCATCACCCAACTTGGAATAAATAACTTCCTTTAAAAACAACTTCAGTAATCCATAAACTAAGAATTGAAAATAATTCATTGAATAAACAAGTTTTAGTTCAGCAACACAGAAAGAAATTCTCCATTCGTTGTTTTCATGATTTCCTAGTTTGTGTCCTATTGCTGCAAAGTGACAACCATTTGTGACAATATCATCTACAACATAAGGATGGGGCCAAGAGTGACATCTTTCTATCCAGGAAGAGGCGGATGGTGGCCAAAAGTCGCTAGCAAAACAAGAGGCAAAATCAAACGCGACTTTACCAAACAAAACACCACTGCTACATGGCCCATGTTCAAAAGAATCTGGTAATTCATTTACTTTTCTCTTTAGAGAGCTAGATAAGTACAATTTGTCGTTTATCCTGATAAAAACAAACTACTGGGATAAGAAGCCATTTTTTAAATTTTCATTGAGGTGAATTTGTAGCATGACCCTTGGCTTTTAGAACAGCTTGTATTCGTCTAGGTATGGTTCCATAGAGACACTGTATATAGCCTGGAGTCAACGAATCCCAGATCCGCAACACAGCATTTACAAGTTCTTGATTGGATTTAATCTGGTGTTGCTCTCGCCCTCATCTGATTTTTATCATTCTCCAGACATTTTCTATCACATTAAGATCAGGAGATTGCGATGGCCGGTCTAAACACGGAATATTATTGTCATTTTTCCAATTTTTAGCCCGTTCAGACATGTGACATGGGCAATTGTCATCTTGAAAAATCCAAGGAGAATTACCAAAATGTTTTGCGATAACTTGCCATAAATGAATGTCCAATATTATTAGTTACACAGTCAGTTAGTGACCTAATACGGATTCATACAGGGTGTGAAATGGAAATCCGTATTGGGCGAGGCGAAGCCGAGTCCCAATACGGATTTCCATTTCACACCCTGTATGAATCCGTATTAGGTCACTAACTGACTGTGTAACGAATTTATCCCGCTGAAGACCTTTTTCATTATAAAAAAAATATTTGTGCATATTACGAAAATATTAAGTTTTAATCCAATAACAATCAACATAAAATATCGTTACGGTAACAAGAAATTTTACTAAACTACCTACGTTTAACCGTTTCTTAGCCGCCATTTTTATTTACAATAACAACGCTTCGAACGGAATCGCATGCCCGATTCTCATATTACGCCTCGACGGAGACGTAATATGGAAATGGAGACGTAATACGGAAAATTTCAGGGCGTCATGTGATCAGCTTTTATCCAATCAGCAATCGACAAATTTGTCTGAAGCGGGATAAATTTATATACTTCTCTGTATTTAAATTACCATCAATGGGGGTTAAGGTACCAACGCCAGAGTAGGAAATACAGCCCCAAAATGAGACGGTGACACGGACGCCGCCATTACACACTGAACGCAGTCCTAAACACTCGGGCCTCCACTTTTCATCTGCTTTCCTCCAAACATACACACGTTGATCAGACCCAAGAACAACTTGCATTTCATCAGAAAATATTATATTTTTCCACTGATTATCTATTCCAATTTCTATGGGTCTTACACCAATCAATTCGTCTTTTTCTGTTGACAGCTGATATTGTGAGGGTTTTCGCTACGTACTTTGCTTTATGTCGTGTGTAACTCAACAAATGCAATTTTCTCTGGACAGACCGTTTAGAAACTGGACGAGGCACAGAACGATTAAATTCTTCTGTCAAATCTCGTAAATTTTGCCTACGATCACGAAGAACTAACCTTTTTAAAATCCGCTCGGACTGGACACTCATCTTTTTGGGTCGTCCGCTTCGTAGGCCATTTTCAATACTTTTCCGTGTTGCATAACGTTTCAAAAACTTTGATATGGTAGATCGATCATATCAAGTTATTTGTGCTATTTCAACTTTTTTCCTACCCTCATTATCTAAACGTAGTATTTGTTGTTTTAGAGCGCTTGTCATTTCTCGGCGATTTGAAGCCATGTTTTGTTTACGTCTTCTACTGTTACAAAAATAGACCCGCGTGTGCGCATGGGAACTCCCGTATGACGCAGATAAGCTAAATATACTGCTGTCTAAAATTAGTCGGGATTGACTTCGTATGTACAGAAATTACAGGAATGCACCTATGAAATATTTTTTCAATAAAAGCGGGAATAAAAACGTGAAACACTTATGGCACTGCACTGTATATAACAAGAGTACTTGTACACAATTTGTATGTTTGAAAAAAATATAAATCCACCAATTAAACACCTAGATATAAGTATTAACAAAACTTTTCAGAATTTGGCTGAGAACTAAGAAATTATCAACTTGAGCTTCTTGAGGATTGAGAAGTACAGAGAGAATCCCGTATATTCCAATACATCTTACAGGTATTCACATGTGATAAATCCCTATAATCTTGTATATAGCTATAATGATTCTGATTATCGTAGCAGTTTGTATTCGATTTGCTCGTAGCTGTTGCAGTGATCGTTGATACGAATAAAGAGCGTCCAAAGGGTACCCCGACATCTGTTGACAATTGCCAAGAATCTGCCAAAATATTTCTCTCATTGGTTCACCCACATTATCTGGGCAAAAGTGTATTTGTAGTTGTAGTTGAAATAGTGCAGACCTTGCCTCCACCAAATTTGTTTGTTTGTAACATAAAAACTCCAGCAGGTGAAACATTACTACGGGAGGAATGAAGAGGAGCGAATGTAAATCATGTTGAACAATCTGTTCTAATCTCAGTTCATTTAAATAACAAATATTCCTCAAAAGTTTAATATCCTGTGTCACAACTGGTCTCATTTGTTTAGGCAGTCTTTTAGGATGTATGCGTACATTTCCATTATAGATGAAGTATTCATGTTCAAACTTTCTCATTATCATCTTCAAAACAGATATAGCTTTCTCATGCCTAGATGTTTTGTAATAATACATTGCAATGTATAATAAATCGGAATCAAAACCAAATTTGACTGCCAACTTCAGCAGCCGAAGGGAAACTTTGTCAGCAATATGCCTAATCTTCTTCACTTTGGAGGAAGTGTACATGTTTAACATAAAAGCAGTGCTCTTTAGAATGAAGGCAGTTCGTTTCTGTAACATAGCTACATGATTCTGTGTTAAAGGTAAATTGATGATCTGTTCAACTATCTTTAAGAGATGCATACATGAACTAAAGCGTTTAAATGGATATGCGTCATTTTGATAAATTTCTAACAACCGTTCTAAGAAAACATCAAACTCGGTCACCAATGACCGTTCATCTGTAGAAACTCTGAGTCTTGGGTTTTCAAGTACAGCTGTGAGATATGGACCAATAGACGGACTGTGCAGGAGAGATTTCAAACCAATCTCATACAACGTGTAAAGCTTTTGGAATAAGGTTCTTTGTGAATTGCCATAAATTTTTGTCAGAAACATATTGTTTTTTGGAATGAAAAAATTTGGACATGTTCCTTCATATACCCATTTAATGATAAGTTTGAAACAGATCCAGAAACAATCAAGAAGATTTTGCGGACACCAGTGAGGTGTTATGTTTTGTTGAAGCACCCAGAAAACGGCCGTCTTCATGTGATAGGAGCTCAGTAATTCCACCTCTTCACCCAACCTGGGGATAATAACTTCCTTTAGGAAAATTTTTAATAATCCATACATTAGGAACTGGCAATGATTCATTGTGTACACAAGTTTTAATTCAGCGAAACGGAAAGAAATTCTCCATTCATTGTTTTCATGGTTTCCTAGTTTATGCCCTATTGCTGCAAAGTGGCAACCATTTTTGACAATTTCGTCTACAACACGAGGATGGGGCCACGAGTGACATCTTTTTATCCAGGAAGAGGCAGATGGAGGCCAAAAGTCGCTAGCAAAACAAGAGGCAAAATCATAATGTACCTTACCAACTATAACACCCCTGCTACATGGCCCATGTTCAAAAGAACCAGGAAATATCATATTTATTTTTCTGTACACAGAACTAGACAGATAGAATTTGTCTTTTATTCTGACACAGGTTGATTGTTCGTGATCTCTGAAGATTGGACGTGTGATTAACTGTAGTAAAGTGTACCCTGGTGAACTGTCTGAACGGTCAGCAAAAAGCGGGATGTGTCCCTTTTTACAGTTCTGAAGCTGGGCAATGTTCCAGAATACTCGATGGTCATTTGGCCACGTCATAGAATCCCTGTCTGCCTTGGGTGATCCTTCAAACAGCTTGAATCCCTCCCTTTGACTTCCAGTTAAGACTGTTGTTGAGTATTCACTTTTTATACTTTTTTTCAGCAGTAAATCCATTATATCCATCATATCTCGCCTCATTGCTACTTGTTGTGAAGTTCCTATAATGCGACACAGCCCTCCAAATACCGACTCAGACAGGCGTTGTACATTTGTATCCATTTCACTGACAAAATAAAAGAATGTTCTCCTTAAACATTTTTATTACAATTGCTGATACGGTATGAATCTTATACATGTCCAATAGATATGACTTTTATGATTTTTTATTTGTTTGCGTGGCTTCCGAAAATTCTACTTGACTGGTCTAGAAATTAAACAAAAGAGTTTAAATCATACCTTTGTTTGAAATAAGAGGGCATCTCGTATTTTTCTATTTTCCCCTTAATCATCGTGTGAATATACCTTTGACATTCCTAACGTCGAGGTGTTGACTAACCCAGTCAACATAATTTTATTGATCTCTATACCTCCCGGTACCTTGGACAATCGTACCTCGTCAAATATGGCCTATTTTGTTATTCAGTGGATTCATCTCCCGACCATTCTTTAATATTATTAAGAAGAAGCCTTTTGATGTGGCTGTCAATTCAGTATTAAATATATCGACGTTTTATCGATTGATAATATTCATTTTAATTCCTACGCTGAATTCATATGTCCCTTCCAGCTCGAACTAAAAGACACCCTTAGTTTGATATTTTCATATTTGAATAGAAAAAAAGTTTATGGTAACCTAGCAACAATACTTTTTAGTTCACCTAAATAAACTAAACTAAAGTGACCTATTGCTGTCCGTTTTTGTCCGTCGTCCGTCGTGCTCCAACATTTGAACATTTTCAGCTTCATCTCTGCAACCGCTCAACCAATGTCAACCAATTTTGCCTGTGGGTTAAGGGGAACGCAAATTGTGAATTTCATGCCCCGGGGCCTGAGGGGTGGTGAAAAAACCACTAAAATTAATGCAATCTTTAAAAATCTTCTATACTCCTGGTCATCAAGCAGACAAATTGTAAATAAACTAACCAAGTACATTATATTGAAAAAGGCTGCCTTTTCCAAAATTGTGAATTTCATGGCCCCTGGGATAGGAGTCCTGGTGTTAGGGCTCTGTTGATTACATAGTGAAAATGCATTAATTTTTAAAAATCTTCTTTTGTCCTCGTGGGTATTAAACAAAGTGCATAGTTATAATGAGTTAGAATGCCTCTTCCAAAATTGTGAATTTTATGACCCCTGGGTCAGGTGTTAGGGCGGGGTTTTATTGATTATATAGTGAAAATGCAATATTTTTTTTTTAATTTAGAAAGCGGAATTGCATTAGCTATCCTTTTTTGTCCGTCGTCGTGCGTCGTTCGTCGTGTGTTAACATTTGGACATTTTCAGCTTCTTCTCTGCAACCTCTCAACCAATTTTAGCCAAATTTGGCATAAAACATATATGTGTGAAGGGGAACACAAATTGTGAATTTCATGGTCCCTGCCCCCCTGGGGCCTGAGGGGTGGGGCCAAAACCACTAAAATTAATGCAATCTTTAAAAATCTTCTTCTTTTCTCCAGGATATCAAGCAGTCAAACCGTTAGCATAAATGTAATAACCATTGAGTCCTCTCCCCAAAATTGTGAAACGCTGGTAAACTTTTGAGGTGAAATAATTTAATTTTTCCCTACGTATATTTTTTAATTTTCTATCTAATGTTAAAATTCACCTGTCTCTTTTCCGCATCTGCCACAGCTTTGATAGTATCCTTTTTTCTGGAGTTCATCAACATGATCAATGTGTTTATCCCACAGGCACTTGTTCTAACCCATACTATAGTATTAACAAAAGGTATCTAACTCTGAATTACACTCAGTATTGTCATGTTGTAAATTTTATATTTACTGCCACCTGGTAAATTCAAATTTTACATCATGAGAGTACCACCTCCTCAGAAATGCACTCATTTATACTTTCAGAGGAAACACTGGCAAACTGTTTATTACCATTGTCTTTTATGAAAAATTATCTTCACAACCATTTATCGGTATGGCATGCATGTCTTTGTTTTCTTTATTTCCATACACAGCGTCAAAACTCTGCTTTCTGAGTGGAAAAGTCGAAGTCAACCGTAGGGCGGGACTACATTGGGAGATCAACGTTTAACATAGGAAAAATCTTCTCCTTAAGAAAAGCAAAGCCTTGATTGCTCATGTTTATATGAAAAAACCCACAGGTAGTGTAAAATCAAGTTTGTTACATGACCCTCAGGATCGAGTAGGGTGGGGCTGTAATGGCCGATCAAAGTCTTACATAGGAATATGTAGGGAACATCTTTAAAAAATTCTTCTCATATACAGCAAAGCCATGGCTGGCTAGATTTATATTCATGAATGTACAGTCTTCAGATTCCCAGTTCTGGTATCAAACTAATACCTCATACGAAAAAATTGAAAGAATGCAAGGTTTCTATTACTGATATATTTGAAGATTCTTTTACCGAGCCCGCATGTCTAGATTTTCTGTTTCAAAATTAAAATGTTCCGTAAAACCTGTGACATGCTGATAATGCTTCTTTCACTAGTAAACTTACTGGACCATGTGGACAGAGCTTCTATACCAAAACTTGGGGAAATCTATGAACTTCAAATCTTCTAATGTAATCTGTGTGGAATTGTTTATGTTGGTGAAACCAATGGATCACTTAATAAAAGAACATCAGGTCATCGATTTCAAATAAAACATGGAGGTCAGCAGTTTTTATACCAACATTTTAATTTACCTGATCATTCTAGTTTGTCAGTGAAAGTTATTAGAATTCTCGAAAAGATTTATCACCACACAAACAGTCCATCACCGAGAACATATTTCCATAGACAATGAGAAAAATTTTTGGAATAGAAAACTAGGGACAATCTTTCCCTATGGATGTAATGACAATGTCGATAGTGCTGGGAATCTTTCCAGTCCACAATGTAACAAAGTAAATGTGATAGGACTTTTTAACCATACTCAGAGACGTTTGCGTAGTCATGAGCATCAGTCTTACAATAAACCCCTCATACACGATGTCTCTTTTGATCCATTACTACCTTATGTAAATCAAACAGTTAGGTCTTCATCTTATTCGCAGTAAACTTTACTCTGTCCCATTGAAACTTTTAAAAAGTCTTCTTTAAAAGGTAAAGGAAAAACCATTTTTTGATTACTCGATACCAGAAAACAGGCTTGGATCTGTAATTATCGATACTGCAAATCATAGGCTTTTCAAATCCGCACCTTCCTAATCTACATACGGAGTGTATATATCTCAGTTGATTCGATACTCAAGGGCACGCTCAACGTATGACAATTTCTAAAACGAGGTAAGTTATTGACAAACAAGTTGATGAAATAAGACTATCAGAAGTCTCGTTTAAAGTCATCATTTCGTAAGTTCTATGGTCGATACAATGGCCTTGTCAGCAAATACAGTTTATCATTACGTCAAATGCTGACGCGTTTTTCATATATATATATATATATATATATATATATATATATATATATATATATATATATATATATATATATATATATATATATATATATATATATATATATATATATATATATATATATATATATATATATATATATATATATATATATATAGAGGATATATATTGTGTGATTTGATATTGGCTTTATCCAACGAGTTGAAATTGTGTATAAATATTCGCGAGGCTTGCCGAGCGAATATACACCATTTCAACGAGTTGGATAAAGCCAATATCAAATCACACAATTATAGATGTTCTATTTATCTCATACGACTTTCGCTTAAACAAAACTTTGAGACTTCCCCTGCAAAACTACATGAATGACTGCCAATTCAAATTGATGACGTATAACTTGATGACGTAGCCTCGTTGATGTTTACGTGCGTCGAGAGAAAGTAGATCGAGTTCAAAATTTAGAATTTTTGCTCTCTGCGTCTTTGAAAACATAATGTGACAATTGCTGGAGCTTTACATGAAACGGACTTCTAAATGAAAGTTGTTAGGACTATGGGGATCGTGAAAATCAACTCTGCTAAGTTACACAAAATCAACATTCATATTGTGACGTCATAAAGCGCTAATACTTAGTCGCGCTTTAGCAAAGTTCATTATGACGTCATGATAATACATAAGTAAGTTATTACGGGAAATAAGATTTTTTTTATATACAAATAGCACAGTTATATTATGCGAATAAAAGAATATTTCTTAAACGAAATATAATTATGCTGCATTTAAAACAGGTTTATGTCTGTTTATAAAATGTTTTTCTTTAGTTTCACGTTCTTTTTCTGTAGTATCCCTTCGGAATTTATAGAAAGGAAAAGCAGTAAAATTGGGGGTTTTATTTTTGGCACAGTTTCTGATGTGTTCGCTTACGGCGGTACACTGGTATTTTGGTTCCCTAATTTGTTGTCGGTGTACAGTCATTCTGTGTCTCAGGGTGTCTCCTGTCTGGCCGATATAATTTTCACCACAACCGGCACAGGTTATCACATAAATAAGATTAGAGCTGGTGCATGACATTGATGTTTTAATTGTAAATTCGCTTCCAGTTTTAAATTGAAATTTGGATCCCTCTGTCAGGTATGGGCAAGTACTGCATCTTGGCTTGTTGCATCTATTTATGATTGCTGGTTCATTGTTGTTAGAAGAAAAGGATGCTTTTGTAAGGATGGATTTGAGAGACGGACTTTGTCGTTTACTCTTAATGATCTGTGAAGTCTCTAATATTTTTTTCATGTCTGGATCATCCTCTAAAATGGGCAGATTATTTCTAATAATACTGTAAATCTCTGGATTTCTTGGGTTATGCGTTGAAACGTACGGTATGACATTATTTACCTGTTTGTTTTTCACTGTAAGTAGATCTTTGCTTTCTTGAGATTTAGCTTTGTTTATTCCGTTTTTAAATCAATCGTCTAGGATAGTGCCTTTGAAGGAGTAGTTCTTGTAGTTCTGTGAGACGAGATTCCAAGATTTCTGCATCGGAAATTATTGTACAAAGACGTCTGGCTAAATTGTATGGGATATTATTCCTGGTGTGTCTAGGGTGACAAGAATCAAATATTAAGTATTGTTTGGTATCTGTTATTTTGTAGAAAACATCCGTTATTATACATATATATATAGATTGTTAGT